CCTACTCAAATTAAGGGTAAATATGCTTCATTTAAGAAATGTTTACTTATTTCTAGATCGTTTTTCCGGTGCATCTGAGACTCATACAAACACAGGACAAGATTCACCAAAGAATTTCTGGTCCATAAACAAATATAAATTAAACTACAAAGTATGCATAGTTTTTAAACTTCACTGCATTTGTGTGTGGATTTTTGACACTCTCCTGACGTGCCTCGATACACAAATGCATTATTTTAAGCAGGAATGGTTTTCAACCAATCACAAAGCTCCCAAAGATGAGAAATCTGCTTCCTGGTATGTTGAAGTACCAATAATTTGCATCCGATAATTTAAATACACGATCTTTGCTTTTGGGGATATCTAAGAATTATGCTCTAATTTGTAGTTACCGACCTGTCTTTAACATATTTTGATTTAATAAACCAGATTTTCTCATGGTTCTTTTTCCTGTTTGGTGCGATTGCAATTGTGAATCTTGACCTTGCCGGACCGGAGCTAAAAATAGCTAAAAAAAAAAACAATGAAAAACAAAAACACAGCAGCTCAACTCCTTATTTTGACGGTGAAGGACGGAGAAGACAAACATGGACGGTGACGTTCGGAGGAGTAGCGGTGGACGTGGAATAGTTCTCATTGATTAACACCAGTGTGCAAGTTCTCCGCACAACGTAAGCAAGTGAGGCGCGGCGGATAGGGAGGATGTTAAACCTGGGGGTGTGATCCCAGGAGGAGCACTTTCTTGTGATTGGCTTATACAAGGGAGCTTTGTGATTGGTGGCCGATTATCCCTGCTTAAAAAAAAGCATTTGCGTATCAAGGCACGTCAGGGGAGTCTCAAAAATTCACACACAAATGCAGTGAAGTTTAAAGACCACTGGTAGTTAGTCATTTAATTTCTAATTATTCATGGACCAGAAATACTTTGGTGAATCTTTTGTTTTGTGTGTGTGTGGATATCGTGTGCTTGCGTGAATCCTGCTGTGTGTGTGTGTGTGTGTGGATCTTGTTTGTTTGTGTGAATCCTGCCGTGTGTGTGTGTGTGTGGATATCGTGTGCTTGCGTGAATCCTGCTGTGTGTGTGTGGATCTTGTGTGCTTGCGTGAATCCTGCTGTGTGTGTGTGGATCTTGTGTGCTTGTGTGAATCCTGCTGTGTGTGTGTGGATCTTGTGTGCTTGTGTGAATCCTGCTGTGTGTGTGTGGATCTTGTGTGCTTGTGTGAATCCTGCTGTGTGTGTGGATCTTGTGTGCTTGTGTGAATC